ACTCCCAAGTTTCAGAACACCTCAACATAAGAAATATACACAATTCTAAAACACTTGGTAAAGAATCATGTGTCACATATAAATAGGGATATCAAACGGGCCGAGCGGCTCGTCAGCTAGGCCGCTCAGCTCGTCAAAATCGGGCTCGTGGGCAGCTGGAGCTCGTAAAATCAAGAGCCCAAGCGTGAGCTGAGCGGGCCTTGACGGGGGGCGAGCCGCTCGTGGCTCGTGGAAAAGAGACTGTTTGGGTCACTGAATTTTTTAGTGACCGTTTCGATCACTCAACTTTTTTATTTATTTTTATTTCTTTTCTCACTTCTATTATAAATACCCCCTTAACCCCCAATTTTTCTCATATCAAAACTTCATTCTTACTTCACAACTCTCTTTTATATCAATTATCAAGTTTTTACTCTCTCTTGTGCTGTTGTGCAAAATTTACAATATTGATTCATTTTTTATAGTTTATTCAATTACAAGTTCAATTCATCCAATTCTCAGTTCTCACTACATTTATATTTTTACTAGTTAGTATATTTGGATTTCATCACAAACAATCAAACAAATGGATTAATGCTTATTTGTTGAGAGCTTGTTCGATACGGGATGTGGGCCACATGGAGAATCGCCTAGGACGCTACAAAGTCAATTTTCAAATGAATTTGTCGGTCTAAATAACGTATTTGTACTTGAAGATGTTCACATTTACGGTCATGATAGCCACAATCCAATTGATTTGGATGATATTAACGTTCCCAAAGCAGAACATGAGGACGAAGATGCCGAATTAAACATCCCAGATGTGAGGAAAAAACGAAAGGGGAAAAAACAAGCGAAATGTTGGGATCATTTTAAGTTGATTTCAACGAAAAAAGTTATCGGTGGCCTCACAGAATCTAAGACAGTATGTAAATACTGTCAACAAAGATTGACATGGCAAAAATGAATTGGTATCACCCATCTCAACCGCCGCTACAAAGTATATGCGGTCAGACATGGACTTCTTCTAGCTGGTTAAACACAATTACAATTTGGCAGTTTAGGGGCCGGTTCTATGACTTCTCTCCTATCCACGTGGGTGTATTCAAAGGACAATACTTGAACCAGAATGGTGAAATTTGTTGCCGCCATTGAGTTGCCTCTGGTTATTGTCGACAACCAACACTTCGTCTCGCCCGTGAAAGAATATTTGCAACCAAGATACGTTAGGGTAAGTCGAAACACTTTTCGTGCTGATACAATACAATATTTCAATGATTCAAAACAATAATTAATTATGGTTTTGCAACAATATGAGAGTTTTATATCTTTAACTTCTGATATGTGAGAAGTAATTAACAAAAGAGCATATATAACTGCAACCGCACATTTTATAGACTCACTTTGGTGCATGCATAAAAAAATTATTACTTTTAGAATTATTGAGTATCCTCACAATGCTAATAATATATATATATATATATATATATAATGCTATTATCAGTATTATTAAAGAATATAATTGCGAGACTAAAATTCGATCTTTTACTTTCGATAATGCTAGTGTTAATAAGATAGTCGTTGATAAATTGTGTAGGGTACTTTAACCTGATTTCTGTGGATATTTGTTTTATGTTTGTTGTGTGTGTCATATTTTGAATTTAATTGTGCAAGATGATTTAAAATATATAAATGATGAACTTCAAACGATTAGGAATGTATTAGTATATATTATGATCTCTCATAGTAGAAAACAAATATTTGAATATATTTGTATCGAATAAGGGGTGATGACTGCTAAAATATTTGTTAGCAACGCAGGCCATAGATGAAACTCTACTTGCTATTAAAGTCATGTAAAGGTTTCAAACATTTAATAACTGATTTTATAATAATAGACACGTTAGAAGCGATGACGATCGTATGTTGAATGAATTCGATTGGATTTTAACTTTGAAAATTAAACAATTTTTAACATCTTTTTATGAGACCACAAAAATTTTATTGGGCGTTTATTATCTCACAAGCTGTATGGTGCTTGAACGCCTTTATATAATTATAAGAAATTTCATAAATATAAAAATGATCCTGATTTTAATAAAATTATAATTGCTATGGAATTAAAGTTTAGAAAATATTGGGAAGAACTGCTTATGTTATTTTCTTTAGCATGCGCAATGGACCCCGATATAATATATCGACAACTAAATAGGTAATTGGTCAAATCAATAAAGCCTCAATACTTGATACACATATCAGCTATAAGAATTTAGAGCAAACATTATGTGAAATGTATGATTTATATGCGGAACGAATGGGTGCGAATGTTAGTCGAGTACCCTCTGCACCTACTCTTTCGACTGAAGTTGAAGAAAATGATGTCGAAATAATGAATTTATTTCAAGGCATTAATACATTTAGATATGATGCAACTGTAATGTGTTCATCAAGTGTCATGTCGTCTATACTTACATCTCATCAAACATCAGCCGCAACTCAAAATGTGATACCTGCCGAATTAATTGATTACTTCAATCATAATATGCCATCAAACAAAACAATTAAAAAAAGTTCAGAAGAAGTAATTGAATTCTAGCGAAAGTATGAAAGATGTTGGCCAATTGTTTCTGCAATTGCGAAAAATCTACTGACACCTCCGATTAGCACTGTTACTTCGGAGTCTACTTTTAGTGCAGGTAAAAGGGTTTTGACCAATGTCAGGAGTCGGCTGAAAGAAAATATTTTGGAAGCGTTAATATGCTTGAAGGATTGGCAGGACGCTCATTTTCGAATACAAGATAAATACGCTGAAATTGCATGTCGTTAGGTAAGTGATATTTGATTTAATTATATTAATCAAAATTTCTTACTTTTTAATCGTTAAATTTAAATTTTTTTTAGAAAATTATACACGTTATAACAAGTTATTTGTATACAAATTTTAACTCTGCCTACTTAAAGTTGATGTAATCGGTCCCAAACTCGGATAAAGAATGAGGGTTTACATTTTATCTACTTTAAAAAGAAATCGAAAAAAATATATTTTTTGTAAATGTATTTAAAAAAAAAATTCGTCTTCATTAAATAAATATTTAATATTTTATGGAAAATATTACAATATGATAGAAATAAAAAAAAAAAGTGTCTTCATTAATTTTTTTTAAAAAAAATACATGAAATTATTTGTATTTTTTAACACTTTTTTTTTTAAAGCGTCTTCATTAAATTATTTGTGTTTTTCTGTATTTTAAAAAAAAGAAAAAAAATATTGCTGAGCTCGTGAGCCAAAGCTCGGCTTGACCCACGAGCTCGGACGAGCTCGTGGGTCGAGCCGAGCTCGCCCAAAATGAACGAGCAAAATGAGCCACGAGCGCGAGTTGAGCTCGTGAGTTTACGGCCGAGCCCATTGACATCCCTACATATAAAAGTCACGAGAGGGTTAAAGAAATCGACTAGTAGATTGTGTATCACTCAGAACACCCAAGTTTTCAAAATCGATTTACCAAGAAAATACGAAATCCACAAATTAGTCTCTGCAAGAACCTCTTAACAACAAATGTTAGTTTATTTAAAAAAAAGAATAGTGAATCATAAAACTAAAACAGGATTCGTCACCAATAAAAAAAATAGGGTTATTGCATGTTGTCAGATCTCGCAAAAATTCGAGTGTGAAATTTAACATTTTCACACTTTTACAAATCAAGGACCCAAGATCCCAGTGATATTCTAGAGAAATAGATGACGACTAAAGGCAACAAGAATCATGGATTTGAGCTCAAATCCACCTTCTACCCGTCTGTACAAAGGATTAACCTCACAAAACGCAACTCCAAACCACAGACCCAAATGCAATCACTTCAATGGAATGAGAGACTCTCCAAGAAACCAACAGAAAACTCTTCACAACTCAAAACCGAAGAATCACTAAGATTCTACACACACAGAACCACCAGAAAACCAATGATTTACTGGTTAAATGGAGAGTTTCACCAAGAAGAATAAGAGGCAGAGACACAAAGTCTCCAAGAGAAGAGACCCAGAAGATTCCACAAAAGACACACGAAGAAGCGCAAGAATAGTGACTCAAAATTAGGGCCAAAAGTCTCAAACCTTATATTTATATTAATGGGTCATCACCGTAGATGTTAGGTTTATGAGATCAAATGGACCAGAGTGACACACGTGGGTCACATGGTTTGGGTTGAGTTAATAGAGTCCATCACAGTGCGTTATTGGGCAAGGGTTTGTAGTATTTGAAAAATTGGTCAGTTATCATCATAGCCCAAATGGGCTGGACCACCAAGAAAATGACATCATAGCCCAATACACATAATCAATATGACCCGTTCCTTGTTTTTTTCAAACCACAAACAAGTTCATTAATTACCTAGACACACAAACAATTATTTTTCTATCCAAACTACAATTCACAAGTGTATTATAAGTTCAAAAACAACAAATAAAAAAAAGAACAACGAAAAAATGACTTGAATGAGAATCTGAGACTTACAGAAAGAGAAGAAAAAAGTGACGATTCAAGTAGAAATTAGCATATTAACGGGTAAAGGCGACTAGTGATTCGTTTAACACTAGTAGACAAGCGTCAAATGTTAAAGAAATGAGAGTTTATATTAGGATTCCTGAAACTTTGGACGTGATTTGCTGACGTATTTTGCAATAATTTTAGTTTAGTTCAAATATCTGGTAAGGACATATATTATGAACTTGTTAAATTATAGGTCAATAATAATGAAACTTATTTACTTTCTATTATTATTTCAATATGCTGGTTGTAAGTTGTATTTCTAAATTGGTATTTTTCCTGAAAAATGAAAATTGTAAAATTTTTAAATTAATATTTTAATTAAAAATTTTAAAACAACTTGGTCCAATTTTGTGTAGTTTTTGAAAATCAAAATCTAAAATAAATTATTTTGAAGTGATTTGGTTCGATTTGACGGAAAAAATTACGGATTCACGTGAATCCAAATCAACTATTTTAAGTCAACGGTTTCAATTTGATGCGATTTCGCGAATTTTGTGTCCAGCCCGACACTGCAGCGAAAATTTTATTATTGGGACACAGGCCGCCTATGTGTTGCCGTGACGACGTCGTTCCGAGGGAAAAATCCAGTTTCCGTTTCGAAAACCCTCCCAAATTCTTTAAACAGTGTTTGACAAATTTCCGTATGTCTATATATGAGACAATTAGCTGCTGTTCTTTTTCATATGGGAAAATCTCCACGCCTTGCGAAAGGGCGGCGCGAATCGAAGAACGATAGCAGCGAGAAAAAGAGGAAGAGGCCTACGATGGAGGAGGAAGAAAGTAGTGGCGGAGAGGCCGAGAAACAGCGGGGTTTGCGGCTGTCGGAGGTGATTTCAGACTGCATAAAGCGGTGGTTCATTGATACCCTCAAAGAGGCCAAGGCTGGGGATATCAACATGCAGGTGCTCGTCGGCCAGATGTATTACAGTGGTTACGGCGTCCCCAGAGATGCCCAAAAGGTTTTATTATTTTTCTCTGGTCTATCTTTAGTTTTATTTAATAACTATTTTTTTAGTTTTTTTTCTAGTGTATTTTTTTTTTTTTTGTGGGCTGTGTGTGGAACATTTTTTATTTTTTAGTGGGTGCGTGTTAACGGACTTGGAGATTGTAGGGAAAAATTTGGATAACAAAGGCTTCAAGAGTGAGATCTTCAGTTTGGAAAGTCAGTAATAAACGCCCAGGTGATCTTCGTCTACTCTGTGTTTGTGCGTGCAGTTGCCTGGCTTCTTTCTACGTATTAACTGTTTAACTCTTGCAGGTTATAATGCAAGTGATTCGGATTCCGATTCAGATGAACCTGTTGAGAATTCGTGATTAGATTAACTTGGGATGCTTGACTATCCAACTTAACGGTGAATTGGTTTCACTTTTTTGGACTCTGCACCTATTTTCATCTTTTCGGTGTGATGCATTTTTCTTCACATTGTACTAATATCAATTTACATTGCGGCCCTCAATGGCGGCTTTAGATCATGTTACAAGTGAAGCATTTTCGTTAGGCAAGCAAAGTACGTTATTTAGTCTAGCAGAGCTCTTGATTGTCACTCAGATCGGCTATAGATTGAATTGTTTCACTTCCGCCAGGAGTATTTAGTGACCTTCTTTTGAAATATCAGCATGCTTAGTTTTTGCTGTGGAATTTAAAGTGGATAGAATAATGGAATCCCCATGTACCCAACCACTTAAAAAATGAAGCTTATGCCTCTGTTAAATGTTAGGTTTTGGAGCTTGTGGTGGTACTGGCTGGAAATTACTCGTCCTAAATTGAAGGACTTCGATTTTTTAGGCTGTTGGGTATAAATGATCTCCTTATAAACATAGTCATTTTCTTTTAGAGTTCCTTTCTTAAACTACATGATTTGATCAACAAGGTTTCTTTCTTGGTGACTAACCACCATCACTTGAGATTTTTAATGACGGCTAGAAACTATCATCTCAAGTTGTGTTATGGATAGTTCTAATTATGGTTTTTTGAAGTCACTTACAAATAAATTTATGGTTGACAAAGTACCATGAAATATCGCGTTCAGTGACTGTCCTTACTTTGTGCAAATACAATGATATGGTAAACTGTCAATATGGTTAAATATAATGGGTTTTATGATATCTATCATTGCAAGCAAACATAAAATGCCGGTTACGAATTATATATTGGTGTAATGGGTTTTATGGTACCTATCATTGTAAGTGCACATACTATGGTGGTTACAAATTCTATGTATCTGTGTAATTGCTAATTATCATGGTATCTCCATATACAATGGTTGTTTTGTTAATAACCATCAATTTTATGAACAACCATGATGGCATCTTGACATGTTTAGTACAAAGTAGCGGATGAATTATACTTGAATATACAATAAACGAGATTTCAACTCCTCTTCTTCATTAGCCCCTGTTTAAACAAAACAATTTATTTCTCATATTCATTTTCAATCACACATTCACGTAATAAAATATCGTACACGTAAATTTAAAATTTTTACCCACTCTTAGCTATATTCTCCAAAATATCACTATTGAAAATATCATTTTTACAATAATGGCCATCAGGGGCTTAATATTATCTAGTACTAAGTAACCTCATCAAAGTTGCCTACTTCTACATTATTTCATTAAATGTAAGAGACATTGCAAAGGGTTGCTTAATTTATTTGATTGTTTTGAAGAAAGTTTTCGTTGCTTGCTTTAATTTTATTTTAATTTTTTTCTTATTTTTGCCAAACTTCAAAGATTAAAGTAATTTTTATAAACAAGAATGTAAGCGCATGCATGTCATGTCAAATGTTTATAGACTTTGTATACAAACATTTATATTTGCACATTTCGAGAGACCTATAAGTACTATCCAATTATTTATCCACCACTAATTTCTATTTATTTATAATTTAAATTGTTTATAAGCACTTTCGAAACAAGATTTAAATGTTTTGAGAACTATTAGGGTCCGTTTGATAGCATTGTATTCCAGGAAAAACGTCACATCTGAGGAATTTGTTTTCTACCTTAGCTATTTGATACGAAAGTGGAAATGAAGTTCGAATTTCAAGGTACAAACACTTAAAGCATGTTTTTGGCCAATTCCATGAAAATCGAATTTTTATAGTTTTGCTAGTTTTTTCTTTTCCAACTTACATGGAATTGGTTTGTCTTTTCCACACTTACTGTCAAACGGACCCTTACTTCCTTTAAATTACCTCCATGGAAACCTTTGGTTCTTGTTTTTGAGCTTGTCCAGAACAATGAAGAGTTAAAACATTTCCATGATGGCTATCTAAAGGCATCATGTCAAAATAACATGTCCGTTATACCACGATGACTTCAAACAAGCCTTTAGGGTATACAGTATACTTTTTCATGACACTCATCGTATTACTGTATTCCTGTAAATACCTTCAATGACTGATAATGATATCGGTCATTGGTCAATGTGAATGTATGACCACAGTTTTTATTCAATCCATCATTGTATATTTTTTAAAAACACTATATTTTAGCTTGACGGTGTGCATTTTTTTCTTCATTCTGTAGCATTTTTATATAGAACTTCCATCTTACCTTTAGACATCATAGAGACAGGAATTATAATACTTCTACACACTTAACCATTGTCAAAGAGATTTGTACCATCTCCAACAACTTCTATTTTGGAGCATTTGGTGATTCAATGGTTAACTTTGTTGGCAGACGGCAATAAGTTTTGTGAAAATGAATTTTACGTGTTTCAATTCATACATTATGGGGTATAATTTCTTCTGAGAATGCATTCATGTTATCATGTTGAAACTGACCTCCATAGGCCTATTATTTTGAATCCATTCAACAGATTGACAACATGAAAAAAACAAAAAAACAAAAACTAATGTAGGAACTAACCTGTCACAACATAGGCTGCATCTTGACTAGGGGAAACTTAAGAGATGAACAAGGCACTTGAATACACTGCCTATTGCACAAAACATGTCTTGTTTTACATCAAAAGTCAAATTGACACTTAGCCATTGTTTGGTGTAGATTAAAGTATCAAGTCAAAGTCAACGGTTAATTTTAACCACACATTTGATTTATTAATTCACTAAACTTTTTTTTTTTAGTTGGAGAGTTAATTAAATGAATTCAAGTTTTGACCGAATTCGTGTTTGACTTTGAAAAGTTGAAAAAGTCATCCTTTGTGGGACGATGGAGTTATAACTAGTTCTGAACAGGAGGTAGAGATAATAGATTCACAAGAAAGGATTGTGATGCTCATTAATTTGTTCAGCTATCCTTCGGAATTCGCATGTGATGTAACAGTAGGGAAAACACACTTGTGAGTTAAGACTTGAATCTGTTAAAACATGGCGTGATGGATCCTGAGACTTTCAGACGTTTGCAGTTGGTACTTACATCTCATATTAAGCTGGGAAAGAGATTGATTATACTTGGATGGGATCTCTTCAGATTATTCGCCCTTGCTGAGTTTAGTGTTTTCGATTTCAATCACACAGCAAGTTCTTTATGACTCGTCTATTTGCAATTTATTTTGTTTCTTTCGATTGATTAGACAGTTTTATTATCATTCCATCTCTGCTGTGTTTCAGTGAATTCCTGATTATAGCTTACAATTGGTTAATCTTTGTTATCTTTCACCATGTTTGAATAACTTAGCATTACCAATTGGCATGTTTTGCAGGTTCATCGACTATGTTCCAGTTCCTGCTATGAGTCGCTTTTCACAGTATCAATCCTTTCGTTCAAAAATTTATTCATTCTGTCTGAAGTATATCAAATAATAAGTTATTATTACAAGTTTGCAGCACAGGGAGTCAGAAAACTGGCAAGCTATTGTATATGTGGACAATTGTACAATTGTTTGTTCTGTGATATCATATAATTTTTGAGTAATGTTATCTAACACTGCAAATGTTAAAACGCCAGTTTAGATGGCATTAAGTGATAGGCTCAATAAAAGGTAGAATTAAGTCATTTAATTCTACTTCTCAGAAGTAGTGTTCCTAAAAAGATGGTTAACATGCGTAATCTAATTTGGAAAAAAATAAAAATAAAGATGATCTATTTCAAAAAATTCAAATCAAGGGTTGAGGTGCATCCATCTCGGCCCTCGTTGAATGGGCTTGTCACCAGTCCTGTTCAAGTAGCATTATACTCGTAAATATGTAAATTGGAAATTATATATCGGCCTTTTTTAAAATTTACATTTTTAAATCATGTTCTAAGTTTCAAATTTCAAAATTCAGATTATAATTGATTATTTAATATGTATTAAATAAATTTATTACTAATACTCTAAATTCATCATCTCATGGGAAAAAAATGTTACAATATCTCTCCCTCTCTTTGTCTCTCACCTCTCTCTTCCATCGGAAACAACCACCATTGATCGTCGTCGAAAATTAACCATCGCACCATTCACATCATTGCAGTGCGTATGACCATCACCATTGTGGCTCCTTCAGATCTGTCAGATGGCTTATCAAAAATTGAATCTATATCCCTAATAAAAACAAACCCTAGATGAGGAGACCAAAAAACATGAGGAGTCGGTAGTAGTGGAGGAAGAATGGATGTTTTCCTAATTTTTATTTGTTTTTCTAGTTTTTGAGGACGAATGGTTGTGATTTTTTGATTTTGATAGAGATTGGTGGTTCTTCTCATCGCTTCGTATGAAGAGTCTCTGTGAAGCGAGATGATGTTGTTCGGTGCTGAAGAGTGGCGTCGATCGACGTTGATGTGGCTGTTGGTGCCATCTGCAATAGCGGCATAAACAATGTTAGCATTGACGGTGGTGGTGCAGGTGGCGGTGGATGATGGGAGATTTAGGAAATTTAGGTCCCAATCTACAATTGTGGTGGTGACTGTAATAATTTCTTTTTTTTTTTTTCGTGGTGGTGGATTTAGCGTAACGATGTCGTAGTGTTTTCTGCAATGGGTTGATTTGTTTGAGATGATGGTATTGGTTCTGAACAAAGATGATGGTGGTAGAGGCAGTGGAATGATAGTGACAAATTATTTGATTATTTGATTGACTGTGACCATTAAATTAGTTAATTTGTGACTACTAAACAATATTCAACTAATGAAAAAGAAAAATTGTGACCTAAAAAATTGATAATTTGTGACTGGTAATTTGATAAGCTGTGATTATATAATAAATTGTGACTTATAATCTTTGTGTTTGTGACCCATAAATAAATTGTGATTTATAAACTTTTGATTTATGAACGATGGATAAATTGTGATCTATAAATTTTTTGAATTGTGACAGAAAAATAATATGTGACTAACTAAATTATTAATTTGTAATCAAATTGTATAGATTTGTGATCTTAATATATTTAATTAATTAATAAATTTCCGATTTTTGAAATTAAAACTTGTGTTCTTAATTTTGAAATAAGTGATACCTAATTTTTTAGTTACGAATTTTTCATATGTAAAAAAGGTTGTGTCAAATTGGCAGGAGGTACATTTAGGAACCCAGGACAAGTCACATATTAACCTAAGGGTCCATTTGATTGTAAGAATGAAATTTGGGTGGAATGAAAACAAATTTCAAGGAATTGAATTACCTAAAATTTGTTTTATTAGGAATTGTTAATTAAATGTATTTGATTGATATAATTTTTGATGTTCGTCTGGCTTTATTTTTCATGAAAATTGTCAAATTAAAGGGATAGAATTTGTTCTTATAGACAAACAAATTTTATTTTTTATTTTTTTTGAAAAAAAAAGCTAGAAAACCAAATTCCCACAAAAACTAAAAGAAAATCAATTCCTTAAAAACTTGGAAAATGTGGTAACGTGGAGGGTTGGGTGGAAAATCAATTCTATGAAAAATTTTGGGTGTCAAACTTACCATTTGGGTGTCATTTTTCATGGAAAATGAAGCCTATCAAACGGGCCCTAAAGGTTTTTCAATTTTTTAATGAATGACATCAATTTTTGGACTTCTTATTTTATTGTGAAGATTCCTACTACTAATAATTATCATATGATACTCAACACTGCGGTGAATAATGCCTAGAAACAGAGATCTGACTTCGCCACCTAACAACATTAACAAATAATCAGTGGTTCACTAAATTATATTTTACATATCATTATTGGGCCCCGAAGTAACCTACACCTCTTCTCATTTGCTTATGTTTCTGTCTATTCCTACGTGCAAAGGAGCTGAAAAGTCAAATTTTGTCATTTTGTCAATGGAGGATTTTTTTAGGTAGCTCTTAGATAGCTTTAGAGACCAACAACTTTTATCAATTCTTTTAACTATATATTTCTATATATTTCATAACCTTTATCAAAACCTACCAAGAACTTTTTTTTTTTTTTTTTTTTTTTTTTTTTTTAACAAAACTGAATAGCGACTATCATTTGTGCATTTTTCTCCAATTTACTTTTTTTGATCTAGAAAGTGTAGTAAATATTTATTTGGTGGTTTAAAATAAATGATATTAGACCATATTCTAAAAGAAAAATAAAATAAAATTTTGCTATCATATCATTTAATTCATTCCAATGGGTTGTTTAGGTCATTTCCTTTTACATATATATGCCAATGAGTTGTGCTACTTGCACAGACCCTTTTGTACAGATGCACACACATGGAGGTGGACCCCACACATGGAGTCCACATGTGAGGTTCAATACCATGTGATAGCCCCTATGCAAAGGGGCATGTGCAGATATTTTAAAAGAAAAAGAAAATAAAATTTTGCTATCACATCATTTAATTCATTCCAATAGGTTGTTTAGGTCATTTCCTTTTACATATATATGCCAATAAGTTGTGTTACTTGCACAGACCCTTTTGCACAGGACCTTTACAGATGCACACACATGAAGGTGGACCCGACACATGGAGTCCACATGTGAGGTCCACTCCCATGTGATAGCCCCTATGCAAAGGGGCCTGCACAGTGATCTTTTTCCATATGCCAATAGTGATAGCAAGGCCAAAAATAAAGGCTTAATTTGTTAGTGACATCTCATTTGGGGACTAGTAATTTTAAAAAAATAAAATAGCGATTAATACTAAATTAGGTGTCATGGGGTCCACACAAGATAATATTCACTGATTCACTATTAATGATAAATAACATTCTTCGATCAATTTATTTTTCCTTTATCATCAAACATACCAACTATGAGCTGATGCTATCAAATAGGAGATAAGTTTTGATAGAATAATCTTACATGTGCATGTGATAAGATTGTCCATTTAAATCACAAAATCTCAAAGTTCAAGTCACTCAAACGACACATCGAAGACGCACATCTACTTTGTTTTTCTTTCTTATCGCCTCAGATTTCGAGATGTCGTAATTTAAGTGACTCAATATTTGAAGTATCGTAATTTAAATAAATGATTATATCATGTGTACATGTAAAATTGTCTTATTATTAAATTTTATTAATAACCTATAAATGAATAATCAGAAGAACGCTAAAACACACAGTTAATATAAGAATAGAAGTTGGTGAGGGTGCAGTGACAGACGGCAGGACCATAATAAATCTGATATTCAGTATCAATGTAAAGATCAGAGTAACCATTATTATAGTCGGCAAGAAACAGTTCACAAAATTGATGCAAGTTCAGACTCATAACGCTGAAGGGAAGATTCTGAAATATAAGGAAAAAAGAAAAATCCATTATAGACAACTGTCATCAGTATGCCACTGCTTTCAGAGGAACGATCAACACCTTCGTTTCCATCTTCTCTACTTATATATCTATATGTAGGCCACTTTTTAGCCAGATGGGGTGCCAGGTTTCATTCAGATTTCTTGTTGTTTTATCCGTTCTCTCGTATATCTTGCCCGATTTTGCATTAATTTACTTTAGCTTGTTTTTGTTTAATGGGAAAAAGGAGTCTTTGAAAATTTCGAATTGGGAATTGGCTTTAGTTTGTGGAGGATGCAAATTGATTCCCTTTCTGTTTTTGGGTGACTGCTAAGTGTCTGTTTCAGTTTAATTGATATTATTTAATACAGAATTCATGCTTTGAACATGTCATAAATTATAGATCAAAGTACACACTAGTTTAGTTTAGAAATTAACTGCTAAATGGTGCTGTAAGAATACAAGTAGCCGAGACAAGGGCACCATCTACCATTTCTTGTACTTATAGGGCATAGGAACCTGAGTTTCACCAATAAATCTCTTCTGCACTACAGAAATAAGGTTTGAATATGGGAACAATTTGAGGCTGTCCAATAGAAATTGTGTTCAACTATCAAACAAGTGTCTCAAACATATACAAACAACACTGAGGTTACAACCATTTTATTAATTCGATCAATTTTACGCTACATTCAATTTATTTTGTGGTGTTCTAATTACAGAATGTGGGAATTCTCTGTTGGTTTGTACATGATCAATGTTTGGCCAGACTCGTTATTTCTTGCTGCAGTGTATGGAGTGGTAGAATCTGCCTCCGCTGCATTTCTTGGGCCGGTCATCGGGCAATGGGTGGATAAGTTGTCATATCTTCAGGTTTTCTTGCACTTCCCTTTAATATCCACCGAAAACAGATGGGGTGACTATCTTTGACTGTATTGATGAATATGATTTTAGCTTAGTCAAGGTGGCATGATTCAATTTTGAATAAGCAGAATGCATGAACCTGTATTACTAACAAGTAGGGGGAAATAAGGTGTCAATAACTGTTCACAGTATGAAGTAAGGATTTATTTGATTGAGTTTATTAGGGAATGGAATTCTGATTTTTTTTAAAAGATGGAAGATTTCTTGAACCTAATTGCTGATATTTTATTTGTGTTTTTTCTGTGTTACTTGCATGTATGCATGTGCATAGTTTTCAGAGAGATAAGGATGATTCTCTTTGAGTCCTGCAGAAAGCATTTTTATAGTTGATTGGGAAGAATTATGAATGTTATTTAAGCAAAATAATTCTAGTTCTTGAAATAGAAATGCCTAATGGAAATTCTCAAACCTCTCATATTGGTCGATCTGGGTAGAAAATTATTGCATGATTTATTGAACCTTCTATCTTTGTTCAACAGGTTTTGCAAGTCTGGTTATTGAGTCAAAATCTATCGTTTATGGTTGCTGGAGGTGCAGTTATCGCAATTCTGGTCCCTGCAGACTTGAAATCTGCAAATCTTACTGCATTCGTTTCCTTTATCATATTAATCAATGTCTCTGGAGCTGTTGGTGTGCTTTCCACTCTTGCCGGGACCATCTTGATTGAAAGAGAATGGTGACTTGTTTTTTGCCCTTATGGAGTTTCATATTATCACGGTTTACTAGATATAATTTATCTTTTTCATTGATGAAATTATCTACTGCACAGCGATCAATTAGCCACCAGAGTAACGGTGTTCATATTATTGTTCATCTTCTATAAGATTATATCCCACATTCCACAATATGTTTTGGTCCAATTTAAGAAGAGAACAATGTGCCGCGTCCAAGTATATTGATGGATGTTTGAATTTCGTTAATCCCAGTGACACTGCATCACCTGGCTAAACTTTTCAAACAAGAAAAATGATTGTTACATCAAATTGCAGGGTGATTGTTATATCCGAAGGCCAACCTCCAGGAGTACAGACAAAGATGAATTCAATCTTAAGAAGAATTGATTTAACGTGCAAATTGTTTGCTCCTGCTGTCACTGGCTTCATTATCAGCTTTGTATCTCTAACTGCATCAGCCATGACTCTAGCGCTCTGGAACATATTGTCCATATGCTTGCAGTATTGGCTTTTAATGTCTGTATATAATGGGATCCCGGCCTTAAAAGAAATCAGCCAAAAGAGGGTCTCAAGATCTTCAGCTAGGGATCAAGATGAAATAACCTCAGCTCATCCTGAGACAGCACGCTTACTTTCCTCAGATGTGAATGATTTAGAGCGGACTGAAAGTAGCTCCAGCTCGAAAGGGAACATGATCGAGGAGTTTTTGAACCTTCCTTATATTAGTGCATGGAGGCTGTACCTGCAGCAAGACGTGGTGCTCCCGGGACTAGCTCTTGCATTGCTGTATTTTACTGTACTCAGGTAAGTCCCTTACAGCTTGTTTAAGCCTGGATTAGACAGTACTTGACAGTGTTTGTGGAAGAAAGAGAAGTTAAAATCGTGTCCGCGTCCTATTATGTCTAGTACCAGGTATCAAACATGCCGTTACGGTATACACTTTTTTTTATTTAAGATGTGTGCAAAACATTGTTCAGGCTATGGAACAATTAGAAACTAAGTACTCTGGTTCCTTGTGTTACTGTTTTTTGCATTGCCGTGGGACATCTGCAAGGTGTTCTGACTGCTTTCATCGGCAAAAATATGTTGTACTCATCCTAGAAATTATTCTTTGGTGCATAATTCGTTTTTCTTCTTTATAATTTGGTATGGCAGCTTTGGAACTTTAATGACAGCTACTTTGGAATGGGAAGGTCTACCTGCATACGTAATAGGAATTGCACGTGGAATAAGCGCTACAATAGGAATAGCTGCAACGTTTCTATACCCCATTTTACAATCTCAGATTTCAACACTTCGAACTGGTCTTTGGTCGATTTGGTCTCAGGTACTTCACTCAATACGAAAAACTATCTATCCTCCAAAAGTCGTATCACTCAGATATAATGGATCAATCCGTAACTGATGCAGCACCAAAAGAAACACCCAATAGAGAATGAGAAAACAATTCAGTAGGGAAAAGGAAATCAGAGGCAGAGATGACAGAAGAAGAAAACAGCAAGAGAAGGAGAAAAAAAAAGAATGGAGGAGGGGAAAAACTTTTCCAACAACCACTAAATATTTTATTCAATCATCAACTGTTTCAATTACACGACAAACTAGATGTAAATAGCAAAACAAAAAAACCTAAAGAGAAAGGGTTTGGACCAAATCCATTATACAAGCCAAATTACATAAATATAAATAAGAGTCCAAATAGAAAATAATATAGATGGATGTCCTCGTCAACTTTCTCGAGGTGGGAGAAAAACTCTACAATATCGAGTGGATAAATCACATGGGGCTGTAGCCAATCTCCCCCATAAACTAAGTGGGTTGAGCAAGCGTCTTCCGGTGTCTGTATAAACATGTCAGTGGATGCCTGAATCTGGTATCCCCAACAGTAACAATGTGAGAGCAATGTCCACTTGCTGCTATAACAAAGAATGAGAATTACAAAGTTTTTCTCACACATAAGACAGTCCCCCTCAGTTCCTGTTACGTAGAAGTCTAGTGCTACTATATACAAACACATGAATGCCCAATACATGATCTAGGTCGATCCACTGTTGAAGGCGTAAATGAACAATAAGTAGGTTCCACATATTCCAAATAATAATATTTGTTTACCATTACCAGCACTTTCTTGTTGAGTTTCTGGCAGTTTCTTACACTAAAATTCTGAATTATAGTACCGCTTTGGTTTCTATGCAGTGGACCTGTCTCTTGGTATGTGTTGCTTCAATATGGATTAAAAGGAAAATTACGTCAGCTTATGTGCTAATGGGTGGAGTGGCTGCATCACGCCTTGGACTATGGATGTTTGACTTGTCTGTCATTCAACAAATGCAGGTACAGAGAATTAGAATTAGTATCACATTTTCACAAGCTCGTTTTGAGTTAAACATATATTTATCCTATTCCCGATGGATGTTCGAGTTATAATTCTCTCTGCTTACTCAAATAGGATTATGTCCCTGAATCTGATCGCTGTGTTGTTGGCGGCGTTCAAAACTCACTTCAGTCTTTCTTGGACTTGATGACCTATATTATGGGTATTGTGATATCCAATCCACAGGTATCACACGGTACTAGACAGTAGACACTATAAACAACAAGATCTTAAATTCCGTTTCTTTCTTAATACCAGTACAGTGCTTGTGCTAGAATGTGCATGGGTAGACACCCATTGCTAAAAACTCTGTGACAAATCAAATCAATATCAGGGTTATGTTTAGGAAGAGTTTGATTATCATTTTAAGCAGCAAGGAAACTCATGTCACATTTAATATCCTAACTGCTAATGAGGATTGACACGCCTATTAACTCGACTTGATTTCTTCTGCTCTGTTCTTATATAGGATTTCTGGATATTGATAATGATATCGTTTCTGCTGGTGACGCTGGCTGCAATTTTGTACAGTCTACACGTTTATCACCTGAGGAAGCATCTCCTTCACTTTGAGAAGCTACTTGTTCTGTTTCAGTGGAATGTTAGTTCATCTTAGACTTGTATTACAGACAATTTGGAAGATCGATGATAAAAATACTTTCGGTGTATGGAGGTACTATAAAGTATTAAGAAATAATAAAAACAATGTTTTAAAGTTTGTTCATTCAACTGTTTTAGTCCAGTTCTATACTTGTACAAAACATCCACTGCAGGCTATGTATATGGCTTCATTATCTGAAGATTCTGACTTTCAAGTCACTGCCCTTGCTTGATCTTGTACATTACTGGAAATGATTGGACATGCATCTGAAGAACATGCCAGAATATTGCACGAACTGTTTTTCGTCTTTTTTAAATATGATCGCTTGGTGATGTTGGGTAACAAATCACATAGGACATGTTTTGTATAATAGTCTTTTTAGTTGTCTCGTGTAACCATGTATTAGACCAATATTAGATAGCATTGAATAAAATTAAATAACAAAAATAAGTTAGAATAATATTCGTCATATTATTCAGTTTCATCCAGTATTATGTACTAAATATGCTCTAAGACTTGGAAAATAAAAAGAAAGTAATAGGATTGATTTCATTTTCCCATTAAAAGTTTTTAATAAATTAGTTTATTGAATGGTGTTGTGAGGACAATTGACTGATCAAGAAATTGAACTATATTCAAACTAAAATTTGAACTTAACAGTTTTGAATCAATTCTCGAATTAAATTTAAACAACATTCATGACATTTTTGTCATGCTCTAAAATATCTTACGTGCATAACATATGTCAATATTATTTCTATTTCTAAGGCTTCTGGCGTACCCAACCACAGAGAATCAAAGCTCGTCCTTGTCTGATTCAGCCTTCGAGAATTGGTCAAAAACACAACATTTGACCAACAATATTGTTCCACAGTCAAAAAGTCAAACTTTCATGAGTTTCTCAGAAATCGATACTCTTGTACATAACATATAAGCATTAAATTTAGATCCAATTCGAAACAATATGTTATTATATATAGTATCTATTTTCATTCTTCCTTCTACAAAATTTGAAAATGGCTTCTTAAGGTGACAACTTATCTTTCTCTGCTGAATAAATGAATACTTTCACTGATCTTCTTGGTAATGAAGAAGACATGAATTTGGAGAAATCTTCATTCGATTGGGGACTTTCTGATATTGAAATCCCAAACTATAAGCCATTTCATTCCCCTCCTTCATTTCTTTCTATTTCTCCTAGTTTCAGCCCTTCTGTTCTGTTTGACTCTCCTGTACTGTTTTCGTCGTCTAATGTAAGCACTTCTTATAGTATTATACGCTTTTGGGATGTGTCTTGTTAGAGTACGGTGACCCTCTGATTGGTCCTGCCTGAAAAGCTCGCAGTGCAACATGTGCTGAAACTAAAATCATGAAAAAAATGGGGGCATCCTATCATTCAGAGTAGACTGAGTAGTTGCACTTCTTGTAATCATATTTAATATAAAGAATTTCCTCTGCCCGTGATTTTTTCCCATTTTGGATTTCTAAGTAAATCTTGTGTTCTTGTTCTTAATTTTGTATTGTCAATTCTTGCTTTTTCATAACACGTCTATTTATCTATCTCCTTCACTTTATCCTTTAACCCTTCTTGGTACTTATTTCAAGTTTTTATTGATCTGATCAATGAGTAATGTAAGTTTCCGTGGCGATGTGCTTGTGTAGGTTGTTCCATCTCCTACTACCAGGACCTTTGCTGATCAAGCCTCCGAGGAGGAGGGCAGAAAGTATTCCCATTTTTCTTTCCCATCTGAAACGAGACCTTCCACCTGTTCGTCGTCTATGTTTTCTGAAGGAAGGAATTCATCTGTATGTTTCAGTTCTTCTTTAACTATATCTTATGATCACATGTTCTTACTGTATTATTGCTGATAATTATAGTTCAACAGGAAAAATTAAAAGCTAGGGTGAAATCAGAATCAGCTCCAACTCAAGGCCTTCCTCAAGAGGTTCCCAGATTTCAAGCAAACAATCAGAGCAATCCTAATATGCAGATTAGTCAAATGCATTATGCTCAACAACTTCAGTATGTTAGGGAGCAGAAAAAACCAGATGATGGATACAACTGGAGGAAGTATGGACAAAAGCAAGTTAAGGGAAGTGAAAATCCTCGTAGTTATTACAAGTGTTCGTTTCCAAATTGTCCTACGAAAAAAATAATCCAGCAAAATTTGGATGGACATATTACTGAAATAGTATACAAGGGAAATCACAATCATCTCAAACCTCTGTCAACTCGAAGATCATCTTCAAGTTCGATTCAGGGAATTTCAAATTATTCACATGACAATGCTCAGATGAAGTCTCTGATAATCTCTGAGAATTCATCGGCTTCTTTTGGCAATGATGATTTTGAACAAGGATCTGCCATGAGTAACTCAAGATACGAGAATGAAACTGAACCAGAAGCTAAGAGATGGTAAGAATAGCTCTTACTTAGTTTAATGAGAAAACCATTAGATAAACGAAATCAATATCTTAAAAATTTGTTATCCTATTTTCCAGGAAGGGGGACGTTGAATGTGAGGACATACCAGATCAAGGAAGTAGAACCATTCGCGAACCTAGAGTTGTTGTTCAAACCACAAGTGAGATTGATAATCTTGATGATGGTTATAGGTGGAGGAAATATGGACAGAAAATTGTTAGGGGCAACCAAAATCCTAGGTAAGAATTAAATCGTTATCAGATACAGCAAAATTAAGACAGTAACCTTACTATTCTATTTGAACTGCCACTAGCACTATCCTGATATAAGATGTGGTCGAACTGATGCAGGAGCTACTACAAATGCACATATGATGGATGTCCCGTTAGGAAGCAAGTAGAGCGAGCGTCCCATGATATGAAGGCAGTGATCACTACTTACGGAGGAAAACACAACCACGATGTTCCTGCAGCACGTGGTAGCAGCAGTTACACCAGACCATCTGTGAACAGCAACAATGCGCCTATGGTCTTTAGGCCTTCAGCCATGAACAGCCATTCTAACGACTGGACAATTTTCCCTGACTTGCTTTAGACAACCTGGCTACTATAAACAAAGAATCAAACACCATATACCCTTAGAAATTGCAGGAGGCAGGTAGTTTTCCATTCTTGAGTTTCAGAAACTCGGAAGGATCCTACGCTAATGAAATGCAGCAGGAAAACACTGCTCTCTCTATGGCCAGGGAAGAGCCAAAAGATGACTTTTTTTTTTTTTCCAACTCTTTTCTAAGTTGGTGATTTCTTTAAAACAAATTTTTTAGAGTACAAGAAATTTATTATTAATCAGTTGTGTAGTTTAATAGTAGGACTCACTGTATTTTTCATTTGTTCTGGGGCTGGTAATGCTTAGAACAATACTCATGAAAAGTTCTAGTGCTGCATGAAAGAAAATGCAAAACAAAGAGAAAGTCTAAGGGAACTTCATATTCTTTTCAAATATTTGTTTTTTTTCTTCCCTCAATTATTTGAATAAATTTCGAACGAACAGACTAGTCATGCATTTGCATCATATTTCATCTTTATTACTGAGCATTCACTGTTTGTTTACACCAACAGGATCTTCTTTTATACCTTCGTGGGGTCAGTATAATAATTATTAATTAACAGGTTCATCTTCAATTAATGTTCATATATTAAAAGACTTAGTGATAGTAGGTATCCTGGCACATCAGGCTTATCCTTCCAGGTGATATTAAGAGGAATTATAAACCAAAACTTTTGTCCCATCCACATGGATGCCTTTTTAATCGTTAACTAACTTATCGATCACATCTATGAGAAGTACCCAGAACTTTCTCAATTTCAAAAGTCGCTTAACAATGGCCAAACACATGATGTATACAGTAAAGAGAGAAAGCAATCATTTTATTTATAAAAGAACCTTTACAGTTTAGAACATCATGAAAAATTCTCCCCTACAGGATCTTAATTCACCCACTATACAATGAGAAACGGAAAGAAAAGCATTCTGTTATAAACATGAATTTAAGTATACAAGTGTATTGAAGTGGTATACAGACAAAACAATGAAACAATTTCATCGAAATAGGAGTATATCAGATATAGGATTGGTTTGAGAGTTTATATCCCGAAATCATAGCCGACAGTGCAAGTAAGAAAAAGGCAAAGAATTCCATGCTGATTGCTGATGCAGAAGAATCTGTAAATATGTTATCTGCCCCTTCTCTCATTCTATTAGTCAAGGGCACTGCGGATGAAGCTGCTGATATCAATAAGTATGCCACAATCTGTAATTTCAGAATTTCGATTTAATGATTGTTTTCAATAAAAAAATTCATTGCTATCATATAGGATGAAAAGGCATAATTGACCTTGTGCTAATATATCAGTATATTCATTTCAGATTTGCATATATAAGCTAAGAAACAGAAACCACATTTTTGTCCTCGAGTTACCAAAACTGCATTGAGACATTTCGATTTTATCTTGTTTTATGATTCTAGATGTATTGCCTGAAAATGCTCGAGTAAAACAGAGATTAAAGTTGCAAACAACGAAATTTCAGACAGGGATGGCCTACAAATCACTTGTTGTCGAAACTTGCCTACCAATAAATCCTAACCGGTCACAAGGAACAACGGTAAGATAATGACTTGGGAAGTCAAGTTGCTCAAAATCTGTGTTGGATGTAACCATATAATGCTGATTAAAATTAGGATCAAATTTTCTACTTTTAAGATTTTTATAATCCCTAATTATGTTTAAAATCTAAGACAAAGTTTCATGAATTTGTAGGGACTAATTTTTGGCACAAGATTCCTTCCCTTTTCATCAAGATTTCTTAGCTCAATCACACAATAGTTTATAGCAACTCCCTCGTTATGGTTTATAATTTGAAAAATCTAAACATAGTTGCAGGAAAATCCAAGAAATTCATCAAATTAATTATAAAATCCACCTACCTGATCTCCAAAAAAGTCCACAATCAACATATTTTTCGGCGAAATCATTTCTCGACCGGTGGAGAGTTCTTGAATCTGCCTCAAAATCTGTAATCCAGTGTACAACGATGAAAGAATTGCTATTGCCAATACATACCTGTAATGATAACCACATTCGAGAAAACACAAAATAAAAAATCTTAATTCTTGATCAATGCTCACCCCAGAAAATAAAATTGTATTGTACAGAAGAATACAGAAACATGATGGTACCTGTATTCCTCGTATTTATCAAATTCCCTCCAATCCCCATGCTTATTACTAGCCATTATAATGAAAGCCAGCAATGAAAAAAGCAAACCGAAGCCTCGCAAACCCAAGGACCCTCTCTTGAGAAGATCCTCTCTCTTCCACCGTCGTACGATGTTCGAAATTCCGGTACCCCTTCCCAGCGTTTGATTCTCCAAATCGCCGGTCGCCGGCGTTGCCGCCGACTGAGACGATTCTGCCACCGTTTTCGACGTGGGCTCATCGGGAGTCGGCATATTTTTCTCAGATTTCTCTTTCTTAATTGGCGTTGATAAATTAAATTGAGGTATAGAAAACAAGAAGTGATGTACAAGGTAAAAGGATGGAAGTTGAAAATTACATGTACAAGAAATTATATCAATTTCCATCTGCTGTGGAGATCATCATGGAATTATAATGTGGCGTGCGAAAACTATCTTTTTGCATAAATTAAAGAAAATCCCGTGGTTATGCTAGAATCAATGATCAAGCATCCGATGTTTATGGAATCTTGTGGATAGCATGGGGAGAAGCGCATGTGATAATTGCTTCTGAGAATTTGAAAGTTTCCGTGAATTGTATCATTATATAACGAACAGCAGTTGACGCGGGATTTACAAGCTATTGCATCGGGCCCGGTTCCAGAAGGTATCACGTAAAGGATTTTTCATTTTTGAGATTTTTTTAAATAGTTCACTTCTAAGGGATCACGATTATTTTGTTCATTCAAATCATTTTCTTTTCGATCGCACACTAATTTAACATGATTTAGAGCATCTTCAATAGATTTTTTAAGCATAAAATTCTCACCATTTTAAATAGTCAATCCTTAAAATTTTATTCAAAAAGACTCTTTAAAATAACATTTTAAGATAGAAAATCACTCTCTATAATTAAATGTACTCAAACTATTTTCAATTTTTTATGTAGAAAAATAGTATAATAATTTGAAAAGAAGCTATTGCAAATAAAAGATAGAACAAAATATAGTTAAGCTATTTGTACTTGTTGGCTTACACTTTGATTTATCTGACCCCACTCCTCCTCTCACATGGAGGCCACGACGTGGGGGTTCGACCCCCATATGAAAGGAGGAGGTGGAGTCGGATAATCTAAAGTGTAAAATGATATGTACAAATAGCATGACAAAAAAAAATAATAACAACAAAGCTGTTTGTACCTTCCATTTTACACTCTACCTTACACGCTGACGTGGAAAGTAACTATAGGAGGGGAAAGAAAAAGCAAAAAGCAAGAAACCACCCAAATAATGGCAAATGTAACCCGCCAAACCACCCCAAATAATTGAAAACATAACCCGCCCCAATTAATCTTCCATTCATTCCGATGGTTGACGAAGCTATGTGTGAGACTGTCTGATTTGCCAGCCCATCCCATATTTCGTCGCCGCCACCCCAAATAATCTTCCATCATAAACAAATGGCGGGTTTCATTCCAGACCAAAATAATTGAAAGTTTGAAAGAGGTTTTTAGTGATCGACGAAACTGAAGGTGAAACTGTCTGCGCCGGATGCCCATCCCACATTTAGTTGCTGTTGGCCACCCAACCCTGAGGTGATATTCCACGGGAATCGGATGTAATAGATTTGAAGAGATGACAGACAAAGGTGTGGTTTTGTTCCATCCCATATTTCCCTTTCTTACTGTTAATGTGAGAATGGATGTGAATTTACTGGCTGTGTACTATGTGGGGGAGATAGTGTAGGTGCGTTTTATAAATGCAAATTTTCATCAATAGGTTAATGGAAAATTGGTGGGGTTTTGTTGGAGATGTATTTGCCCTGATTAAAAAAATTAGTTATGTGAATTAGTTTTAACATTCTTTAATTGGTTATTTATTGCAATGAATAAAAGTTCGAAAGATGTGGATGGACATATTTCGCTAGAATTCGATAATGAGGATATTTTGGACAGTGTCAACTTGGTAATGGATGGAATAGTAGGAGTAGATGGAGTGGGCGATAGGATTATAGGAGTAGATGGTGCAACCATGCTCGATGTGGGTATGGAGTTCAACGATGAAAAAGAAATATTTCATTTTTACAAAAGATATGCGTATGACGTAGGGTTTCCAATTAGAAAAAGAAATTCGCAAAAGGATGATGATGGAGTTGTCAAATATGTTGTGTTCACATGTAGCTGCGAAGGACGAAGAAGCAGAAATACAAGTGGTTCTTTGAAGCCACACGTTACCATTCAGACAAGTTGTAAAGCCAGAATTATTGCTTCTGTAGATGCATATGGAATATGGAGAATTAACACAGTCAATCTCATTCGCAATTACAGAACAAGTCCTTCGAAGTCAAGGTTGTATCGTTGCAACTGAGTGTTGAGTGCCCATGTCAAATGATGGCTTGAAATGAACGATATGGTAGGGATTCCTCACAATGCTGCAGTCGTAGAAGTGGATGGGTACGAAAACATTACTTGAATAGAAAAGGATTGTTGAAACTATGTTGAACAAGTTAAGGCAGTTAAGACTTAGAGACGGAGATACCGCAGCAATACAAGCCTGCTTTTCGAACATGCAAGCAAGATGTTCGGGTTTTTACTTTAGTATGGATTTAGATGAGGAGTCGCGGGTTGAGGAATATTTTTTGAACTGATAATAGGAGTAGGCAAGCATATAAAGAGTTCGATAATGTTGTAACATTTGATACCATGTACCTAGCTAACAAGTATGACATGTCATTCGCGTCTTTTTGTTGGGGTTAATTATCACGGACAATCAATGCTACTCAGTTGTGGTTCGTTGTCGAACGAAAGTTCAGAAACATTTGTGTGGCTTTTCAAGACTTGACTTCAGTGCATGCATGACCAAGCTCCCAAGGGAATTATTACCGATCAAGATAAGGTCGTGCAAAATGCAATTTAAATCGTTTGTCCAAACACCAGGCATAGGTGGTGTCTTGTTCTTCCACTTCCTAGCAAAGAGATTGGAACGTGTGAGTTATTTGTTGAACTTCTTCAAGTGCTGTTGAGTTATTCGAGTTAATGGTAACAGTACTAGACTCGCCGCTTGATTATCCTAGTTCGACCCATTCCCAGTATCTACAGTGAGCACTGTAGCAATTGTACAACTTTTCCTTGTTCTTCGTCTCCCTTTCAACCTCAAGGCACTTGACAAAGCCATGTCTACAGAGGGGCATCGTCGTTTGTTAGGGCAATCAATAAAGAAGTGCCTCTTTTCTCTACAGCTATGGCAGATTCCGAAATTTTTCCTGTCATTCTAACACATGAACAACTAAATTTTAAAAAATAATGAAATGCACACAAACTCCATTACTTTTCTTTTTCCAATTTGGTTTTAAGAAATAATGAAACACACACACACACGCGCACACACATTGACAATTTGGGTTTTACCGTCGTTAATCGAGAACAATAAAATACAAGGTTTTCTTCATACCAACTATAGGCAACTGCGTCGGAGATGGACACTCTTCCTAAATACGGTGGAGATTTTACCTTGCGGATTCAACATATGAAAGAAGCAAACGATCAACTGAAGGTGGGAACCTCAAGCATATAGATGATTGATATATTGGGCACTGGCATTTTCATCTCGTCATGTGGGAGAATCTGAAGTTTAGTGTGTTTCTGTCGCCGTCGAAGTTTCTCTGATTTGGGGTTTTTTTCATGTAAGGGAATAGGGTGAAAGTGACGTGGATTTTTGCGTTTTGGGGGTTATGTTGGGCTGGGTCAAAAATTTCCCACCATTTTTTATTTCTTGAATTTTTACGCTCCACTTGCCACGTCATCGAGTCAACAAGCGGGTAAAGGCAAGTGTACACATAGCACGATTGAAATAATAAATACTTTTTGGAAGTAGTCAAAGTAAGTGACAAAATCAAGCGCCTCTTAGAGCACTTAAAATTCTTTGATCTCTAAATTTATAGAAGCTCGTTATATTGTTAAATATGCTCTTTAAAAATAGAGAATTTATTGTATATACTCTTAAAAAATCATAATTTGACTCTATCGTTCTTTTTTCCTTTTAAACATTTGTTCAACTAATCTATTTCTTTTAATACTTGAGATAGGTACATGATTGAGCTCATCAAGTCACCAGATTTTGCCGCTTATAATTTTAGAGTTACTACAAGACATTTAAGTCAACTCCAATACCCAAACTCTTATGGCTGTGTTTGATTGGAAAATTTTGCATAAAATTAGCTTTTTTCACCTAATTTCCAACTTTTGGAATATTTGATTTTCAAATTTTTTTATGAAATTTTTTTCCTATCTTTGAAAATATACGTTTTTTTTTCCTTTTCTAAGAAAAACATTTTCTTTTCTAGAGATATTTTCCATGTTAATCAAGCACACACTTACTTATTATTGATCTAGTAATCTTTTTATAAATATTGTTACGTTTTTTCCTATGGCAGGTACATAGTTGCCCGTTAAGTAAAATGTTATGCAAACACCCTCTTTTTGAGACTAATAAATCAAAGCATGTCGCATCTATCGTCTTTACTCCGAGCCTATGAAATTACTTTTCATCGCCTTGTTAACTATGACTTTTCGAGGCATTGAGAGCATAGTCCAGCAACATAATTCATTGCGGGCACGTCACCTCTTGGCTCCGTAGCGATTGAAGAAGATCCAACCTTTAGCCGCATCAGATGGGTCTCCAATATCAAAGGCGATTGTGTTCAATGTCGTAGCACCTCATGCAAGTTGCATTTTGACAGTATAGAACCACGTGACATTGATTGATTTGACTCTTTTAAATGTAGCCGGGAGTCAAATTCCTTATTTTTCGCCTAAGACAGTGTGTGAAGGTCACATGCCTATAATGCCTATGATACGACGTTGTGACATCGTCAAGTTTAAGTAGAGGGTCATTGGGATGAGGTCATGTGTCAATCATTTGAGGAGCCTCAGTTCATTCTCTTTGCCTATAAATACTTAACTTTATGAAATTGTGAAGGTAATTACCAATTGGTAGTTCTCACTCTAGAAATCTAACCTTAGTCCCATTTTTCCCCATTTTTCTTCATTGTTTGTTCTCTATTCGTTATTGTGCTGACTCTTGAGCTTCGAAACATGTACAGTCGTGGCCTTACCTGCATTTGTCTGGAGAACCTTGATCTTGTACCCTCGAATGTGTGTCCACGTATACACGTAACATATGTGTGGAGGAAAGGGGAGACATGATCTATTTACGTACTGTGTCCTAACTAAATTCGGATATCAATAGATTGGCGTCGCTTGTTTAATTTGAGACTTATCCCAATGTTCATCAAAGAAATCTAGCTTTGTTCGCCTCATTTCATCATTGGTGATCCCAATGAAGTGGGGAGGAGGCGGGGCAATGAGGAAATGGAAGATCCACTTCCACTGGGCTCATAGCATTTGTTTGGTAAGCTATTGAAAATGGAATTTTCCCATGACACTTCTACCATGGCCTTATAGCCCACAATACATGGAAGAACTCCATAACCCACCCTTAGAGGCGTCAAGCTTGTGTTTAAGGGTATACTTGATGATTTTGTTGACAACCTCAGCATGATCGTTGGCTTGTAGGTGGTGTGGAGTGGAGAAGTATTTATTGATTCTAAGCTCTTTGCAGAGCCTTGTGATCTTCACATTGTCAAATTGCTTGCAATTATCAATGCCCAAAGAGTGGAGAACAGTAGTAAATGATGTTCTTTTAGATAAATTTGAGGGTATTAGCTTCAATGATTTTCATCATAGACTCAACTTCGATTCACTTAGTAAAATAATCAAGAGTAACAATGGGAGAGACACACTGCCTTTTCTTCTTGGGAGAGACCCAATAAAGTTTATTCCCATTTGACAAATAATCAAGGGTTAATAATCACTATGAGCTTTTGAGGCGAATGCCTTGGGATTGTGACAAAGTATTGGAACTTGTCTCTCCTTTTGACATGGTGCAAATAATCTTTCTTCATTTTATGTCACTATATCCCTATTTTAGGGCCTTCTATGTCAATGCTTGGCCTCCATATGGTCTCCATATATCCCTTCATGGATTTCCCTTGAGACATAATCTACTTACTCATCTTTTATTCAAGCAGAGGCGAGCCATTGAGAAGTCTCACTTACAAAGCACATCCTCTTCTAATACGAAGTAAGCAGTTTTTCTTCTCAATTTGCAAGCATCTTTCTTGTCTTCTAGAAGGGTTTGATCTTTGAGGTATGCAATGATTGGCTTCATCCATCTGTAAGCCATATTCTTAACGAGGAAGACTTTTTTATCATGCTATTAAATATTAATATTTTATTTATGCTAAAGCCTCTATAGGTAAGTTAAAGTAAAAATTAATTTTGTTAGCTAGGTTCCAAACTATCAAGATCTAATCGCATTCAAATTAATGAAAATTGAAATTATTTGAATTTACTTGAGATTGAAGCGTAATCAATAAACATTCAAGTTCACAATTGATCTCTAATACCTTTAATGTATTGTTGTCTACGTATCATTTATAATTCTTCAACTAAAATCAAAATCACATTTAAATGTAGACATGAATATAAATTTGAGAAGAAAATATATGCTTTGTTGAGTCACTCCTCTAACGTAGTGCTTATTTGGTAGAGATTTTGATAATTGATTTTTTTGACCGTTAGAAATAAAGTGGGTCCTTCTTGTGAGAGAGGAATTTAAAAATGACGGTTAGAATAGTGAAATAACGGTCAAAAATTGATTTTAATTGGGTTAAAAGTTGTACCAAATAAGCTCATAATTTTTAATTTAGAGGGAATTCTAAGAGCCTGTTCGGTAATGATTTTGAAAATTGATTTTTTAACTGTTAGGAGAAAAGTAGGGACACTTGTGAAAGAAGAAGTCAAAAATTATGATTAAAATAGTGAAATAATGGTTTAAAAATTAATTTTTGGGATGAAAAATCACTTCGTTCCTAAATATTGTCTGTATAGATATCTAATCAGCTGACATTGAATAAGAATTTTTTTAAAATGCTATTCATTAATAAATCAATCAAAAAGCAACGGAATTAACGGAATCATCACAGGGGGAAAAAGAAAAAACGACGTCAAAGCTAATGGCATTATCGTTATTCAACGTAAAAAGCGTGTTATTTTCGTGAATTGATTCGCTTTCCAGCATGTTCCCCCAATTGTCTTCCTCTTGTCTCTTCTCCATTATTTCATAGTTGAATCTCAAGGTCTCTCTCAATACTGATTTTCAGTAGAACGGTATACGGTATACTATGAGAAGAAGAAACTAAAGCCCACAAGAGTTAATTTCCAAGCATGTTTTCTTGTTTTGCCCCTCCCTTTTCCTTCAATTTACAGTTCTTTTACCCTTCCCCAATTCGTTGTTTGGTCGGCGCTAATCATACTTCTGCTCGCTTCTGCTCACGATAATTAAACAGAGGAATGCGTATACATTCAGAAAATTTAAAGAATTAGAGGGTAATTTTTTGTGTTTATATGATGCAGCTGAGGATTTTTTGTGTAAGATTATTTTTGTTCTGTTTATTGATAATTGCTCTCCGATTTGCATACATTGTGACCCTCCGAGGGGAATTATGTGACCACGGAGACTTTTGTTTCTTTTCGTTGCCGGAAAATATCAATGTTGTTACGGGCATCGGAAAACTGGTCAAACCCTCCTCGTCGATTACTTCTACCAATGGAAAGTCAGCGCCGGCGATGCCCAAGAAGCTGCCGGAACTCTGGGCCACCTGGGGTTTCCAGAAGGCCGTTCGTTTCTATTCCTCGACCTTCCAATATCTGATTTATGAGGGCTTCTTGAAACCTAGTTATAAGGTCCTTTGCGTCGAAACGCAGACGGGTGCTGACGTTTTTGCGTTGAAAGAGATTGGGGTGGAGGATTCGATAGGGATTTTCAAGAAAGCATTCAAGCCTCTGGTAATTTCGGGGCAGGGTTTTAAGCAACCCTTCAAGAATAGTACTTTCGATTTTGTGTTTTCCGGTGGTGGTATGATTGAGAAGTCTTCGAAGTTGGCAGATTTTGCTACTGAAATTTCCCGGATCCTGAAACCCGAAGGATTTCTGGTGGTCCACACGGGCACGAAAGATGAATACAGTCTCAATTCATTTCTTGATTTCTTTAACTTTTGTAAATTGGTAAAAACTAGGGTCATAGATGGGATTGATTCCAAAATGCCAATTATTCGTGAAATTGTCGTGAAAAAAGTTAGTGGATATGGAAATATCGAACAAATTATTGACTATGGGACAGAAAATCTCAGTGTTGATTTTGTGACCAAATGCTTAGTTCCGGGGTATAAGCTAGAATTGATCCATAAAGCAGAGCCTTTAATAGAGGAAGAACCAAAGAAGCCTTGGATTACTTTGAAGAAGAATATAAAGAATATAAAGTACTTGCCTTCAATGGTTGATATAAGTTTTAAACAAAGGTATGTCTATGTTGATGTTGGAGCTAGAAGCTACGGATCAAGCATTGTTAGTTGGTTTAAGAAGCAATATCCAAAGCAAAACAAGACTTTTGAAATATATGCAATTGAGGCTGATAAGACATTTCATGATGACTATAAGTATAAGAAAGGGGTCACATTGTTTCCCTACGCAGCATGGGTGAGGAATGAGACCCTGTTTTTCGAGATTAATAATCAAGATCCCAGTCATAAAAATGTGAAGAGAGGTAGAGGGATGGGGAGGATTCAACCGGTTCAGTCTTCAGGCGGTTCTAGTTCATTTGGGTACGTGGATAAGATTCAGGGATTTGATTTTGCTGAATGGTTGAAGAATTCAGTGTCGGAGAGGGATTATGTGGTTATGAAGATGGATGTAGAAGGGACTGAATTTGATCTGATTCCCAGGTTGTTTGAAACTGGAGCAATATGCTTGATTGATGAAATGTTTCTTGAATGCCATTACAATAGGTGGCAGAAATGTTGCCCGGGGGAGAGAGCTGCTAAGTACCAGAGAACATATGGGCAATGTGTGGATCTGTTTACTTCTCTAAGAGATAGTGGAGTTCTAGTGCATCAGTGGTGGTGACTGGTAATAGCTATCAGTAATTCTGTTCCATTTGTTGTTTTTAAAGTTTTTTCTTTTGCTCTCAAATCAAAATGTTGTAACTTTTTGTATCATCATTCATTTAGTACGAATCCCATATGTATTTAATATTGAAGTCATGGCTGAATTTCGTCAGTTATTCAGCAGCTTAAAAATCATTTTGGCTTTGGAGAATTCGAGATTTTCTTGAACTTTTAGAAATAGATTATGGAATTTTTCTGAACTCTCTCGTATATATTCAACTTTTCTCTGCTTTTGTGGACACCTCAAATTCTTCTTGAAAACAATAAACAATTCGCTATGATCATTAAAAAATATCTCATGCATATTAATTATGGAACCCTACGAATTGGAATACAGCAAAACATAATGTAAACCTGAACTGTTTTGCTAGTAAAGTATGTTGAAATTATATACCCCTGCTGTCACATGTTAGACTTCCAGGAATGGCCTTTATCATTCTTCTTAGGTTTCTGCATGATACCAATTGTTGAAAATTGATGCATTTTTCCCTTTTTGCTGCTCTACATTTCATTGAATTTGCCAAAATGAAGGAAATTCTTGAAGTTATTTGGGCAGTTTGTTGCATTTCCCCTTGGTTTTTAAAGCTGCAGGTGTATGAATAGCAGGTCACTAGGCTGAGAAAAAACAGTCTGCTTCATAGTGGTCCAAAGTTATATTCATCTTGTTAAAATAATGCTTGTAGTGCTCATTTTGATCCTTGTATTTATGGCAAATAAAGTCTTGAACATATGTTTGCATAAAGTGAATTTTACATTGCTGTATATTAAGTCATATCTTTATTGTTAACCAAGCTGACAGTTTTCTTCCCCAAACATATTTTTCTCTCAACGGACAAGGTAATCCCTGGTTTATGGAATTGCTTCAATATTTTTTTTGGATAACTTTAGTCAAGTATTGAACTTAAAATACTTCTTAGTGATGCGAATCGAACTCAGAGTTAAATGATGCATTTGTAAGATGCTAAATATAATAGATGGGTATAGAAAACTTTTGCAGCAGTTCATCCCAAAGTTCTCAACACCCGGTTTAGCACGGTATTTACCTACAAGTCTTGTATCATTACCCCGGTTTGCTTTTGCATTTATTGGTTTTCAATGGTGACTTACATTGTATGATAATGTTAAATGTAAGATTCAGTTATCGACATCTACCTCTACCTATGGTTGAGAAATGCAATTTTAGCTTGTTAAATTCTTGTTCAGTTGTAAAGTGGAGCCGCAGCTTGTCTTTGAATAAGGTACTGTTCAAGTTGGGTGTTGTTTTGGCCATATACATATAAAATGACAGCAATGGAATGCCAATCCTTGGGCCAAAATAGGAATAAGACTTGATATTATTAGAAATGCCCAAAAAAATATCATACTCGTAAAGCAAAAACATAGACGCACTCCTATGAACGTGGAAAACATACCGGATGGGTCGATTCGAATTGAAATTGTCAAGTCATCCATAACTGTTTAGTCAAAACAAGAATTCGTTTTGACCATGTTATTAAAGTGATTGTGTTCCTCTTCTGCAGACAATCCAGAATAAATAAATATGTAGTCATTGTGGTGTGCAAGAAACCAATTATTTTTCTTTTGACATTTTATTCTATTTTATATTGTATCGTTCTTTTTTCTGTCTGAGTTCCAAAAAACTTATCATATGAGGTTGAAAGAAAATGCACAATGAAAATAATATTTGGGAGTCGATTTGCTAAACCTATGATCTGGCTACCGTAACTAATGGTGTTAGAATTGAGATAATCGATAATACATAGGTTAATCTTGAGTGTAGCGATAAATTAACATTCTTGAACATGTCATTTGTAGAAATCTATTTCCTGCCCAACTTTAAAGAAAAATTAAATGAAAATTAAAGTTCAATTTCCTCGAAGATTACGATTTTTGTGTCAATTCTAGACATTTCACTTTTTGTTCCGTCATAGGTCATGTGCTAGGCTGTCATATCAAGCTTTGCATAGCCTAAAAATCGAAATGGTCCAGTTCCTATCAGTCTACTACGTTTGCAAAGAAGGAAGGCGCATCTGGTCGTACAATTAACCATTTTCCACTAGAAACACCATCCTACATACACGAGATATATGGATAATAGAAAATCAAAAAGGACAATAAATGCGCTTAGAGTAACGACCATAAATAGAAGAAAATAAACATGTTCCTAGTCCGTGGCTCTCTCTATATGTAAATTCAAAGAAAGGGCCAAAAGATTTACCCAAAAATAGGCCAAAAAAAAAAAAAAGAAAGGAAAAAAGGAGAGACAATAGAAAGAAGAGAAAGGATTGAGATAAAGAGAAGTAAATTTGAGGGCAGAATGTGTCATTGAATGGCCATTTTGTCAACCCTCATCTTCTGACTTTTTGATCCTACCACGATTTGATCTAACCACCAATAATGTTTATTACGACATTTGATTCCGACCTTGTTTTTAATTCTCTTAACGATTCTTGTTAATATTTTTTTGTCCAAAGGTTTCCAGGCAGGCAGGCCTATCCATTATTCTGATTTCTCCTCCTTTTTCCTATCCATGCAATTGCTGCCCTTGAGAATCTTGATTCTTCTTAATTCAGATTGGGACAAGAATTCCAGGCAGCAATATGGGACAATGTTGTTCATTTCATGTTGAAAGTTATTATGCGGAGAATCGTGAAGAGGAAAGAGAGGTTGAACATGAAGATATGATATTTAGAGGCCATGCTGGGGCACATGTTAGGCTCCAAGGATCATCTAAATTTATATCAATGCATACTCAGCAAGGGACAAAGGGGACCAACCAAGATGCCATGACTGTTTGGGAGGTATATTCATTATTTTCTCTAATTTCTCAATTCTAATAAAGGTTTCCGATTCTTGTGTATTTAAATATTTGGCTGTGATTTTTTGGGATAATTTTTCTTGATTTCGTCTCTCTGTCCTGAAAATCCCAGCATTGATCTGCGTACGTGTTCTTTAAATGATTCTATTCATTTTCTTTCTATCTTTTGACACCAAAATATAGATACATTTAGCTATTGTGGTTTCAAAATTTTCTTCTGTTACGACTACTTAACTTTTTATTTAATCAACTTTAATTTTGTTTATGATAATTGGCCAAACACTGCCTACTTACGGAGTGGGGGTGTTGATATGTGACTAATGTGCTTCAATTGCTGCTTCAGAACTTTTCGGGTGCGAAAGACACGTTCTTCTGTGCTGTGTTCGATGGACATGGTCCGTCTGGCCACAAGGTGGCACGCTATATTCGCAATGTTTTGCCAGCAAAAATTTCAATGTTATATAACAAGTCAAATGTTGGTGGAAAAAATGGTGGTTTTGAAGAGAAAATTGGCAATGATCATCCTTTTTTATCATCATGGAAAGATAAAATAATGAAGTCTTTCCATGAAGTGGATGAAGAACTTGAGGGTGATGCATCTATTGAAAGCTACTGCAGTGGTACAACCACAGTGTCTATACTTAGAAAGGTACAATTGCTTTTTAAATAAATTGGCATTGAAATAATTTCAAAATTTTCCTTGCTGATATAACTCAGTAATTCTGGGAGCTGAATTTCAAAATTTTCCTTGCTGATATAACTCAGTAATTCTGGGAGCTGAAACACTCGAGTAATTCTTTTTTTTTTTCTTTTTTTTTTTTTTTTTGGTGATTTCATTGCTAACGTCTCAGGGTGAACACCTTATAATTTCGAACTTAGGGGATTCTCGTGCTGTTCTATGCACTCGAGACGACAAAGATCAACTTATATCTGAACAACTCACTGTTGATCTGAAGCCAAATCTTCCAGGTTGGTGTCCTTTTTAGCTTCTCTATTTATGGAAGCAATCGAGAACTTTCATTTCACTATAGATTTCTTTACTCTAATTATCTACCATGTAAAACCAGGAGAAATGGAACGAATTAAAAGCTGCCAAGGAAGAGTTTTGGCAATGGATAAAGAACCAAACGTGTACAGAATATGGATGCCTGATGAAGATTGCCCCGGTCTTGCCATGTCAAGAGCTTTTGGAGATTTTTGCTTAAAAGATTTCGGCCTCATCTCAACCCCTGACGTTACTTACAGAAAACTAACACAAAGAGATGAATTTGTCATCTTAGCAACCGACGGGGTAAGAACTCCTAGCACATAGTATTCACAATGAAAATGCGATGGTACGTCATTAGTGGCGGTTCTTAGAATTTGAGTAAGCTAGGGTAGATCCAAGCGAGCGAGCTCGAGCAGCAGTCAAGTTTCTGCCCAATATATGAAGAAGGAAAAAAAATAAAAATAAAAGAAATCTGTGGAGCCAGCACAGGCTGCCCCCATGGCTCGCCGAGTGCTGGCTCTGTCACTGGTAACGTCATACGTGAGAATTATTTATGTTGTCCTATATATCAAACTAATTGAACATATGTAATTTTTTTTCTTCAGATATGGGATGTGTTATCGAACAATGAAGCAGTACATATTGTGGCTTCAACGAAGAAACGATCCCTGGCAGCTAAACTGTTGGTGGATCAAGCTGTTCGAGCCTGGAGATACAAGTATCCGTCTGCCAAGATTGATGATTGCGCTGTCATATGCTTGTTCTTCAAACGCCCGAGACATTTGTTAACTAAGTCCATATCAGAAGTGACTGAACCGAGCTTGAATCATACAGAGGTCGGAGAACATAGTTATAATGGAAATGCGATAACTGATGACGGGCTGGATACAGTTTTGAACTGTAAAGTGGAAGAAAGCCCGGAAACAGCTCCAAATGGTGGTGATCGGTTGGATTCTGCCACACATCGGCCTCGAAAAAGAAGATCAGAAAAGAAAATTGAGCAGGTTGGAGAATGGTGAGGGCTCTAGTGAATTGTTCAAAGTCTGTAAGCATTTGAAAAAACACGAGATGAAAATAGCATTAGTCTTAGTGGTGAATGGTGAGAATAAGCAACTGTTCTTGAAAAAAAAAAGTTTTATACTTGACACCTTGATGATGAATATAAAAAGAAAAGAAAATCCTTCAAATAGAAAGAAAGAGAGAAATATATGTTGGATGACATGAAATCCGCGCAATCTAATGAGTGCCGCAATTTTATGTCTCCGAATAGTTAAAATTTTCCTTTTGTCTCTTTGAATGTGTGGAATTGTTGATATGCCGACTTAGACACTAATCAACATGTTTAAGGAAGAAAAATATGTTATTATCTAGTTTGTGATCTACCGTGTTTGCTGTTTTGCCTGGGACGAACGAACCAATTGTATAACTCTGTGGTTGGTGCCTCCAAGCAAGTGATTTAGCATCGCATCAACTGTTTTAGCATCACTCGGTGTGTTGTGATTTTTCATAGAATGACACTTGTGATGTCAAGGATTGACTCATAAGATGCCAAACTATACCCTATCGATTACCAAAGTTTCGTGTTCGTGGCTCAAACAATTTTGGGACAATCCTGGGAGCCTTTTTAACTATAATAATATTCTTTTTTGGAAGAGAAAAAAAAAAATAACATTTTGAGAACATGGTTGTATTGTATAATGAGAAAGTGAGGCTAGAAGAAACAGCAGCCCAATTATTCCATAGTACATGCCTTATTTGAGAGCCCAATTAGAAAAGAGGTAATCTTTATTGAGAAATTCTTGAAAAAATCTGAAAAAAAAAGAAGAGCAAAAATTCACTGATTGGAACAGACCACCAAACAAATGGTACCAATTTTTCTGAACGTTAAAGAAAAGTTACAAAAAGAGGAAGCTTTGGACAGAGTACCACAAAAGTATAACCTTTGGCAAGCCTTGTGCCCACACTCCCTCATTCTTTACATAGAAGATAGGTACAAATTATATCAAGAGACCTAATCCGATTATTGATCATGTCATTGATTGTGTTATGAATTGATTTCAAGATAATGATAATAATGAATAAACAAGAACACAATAAGAACACTAAAATTTATGTGAAAATCCAATATGGAAATAAAATCACAAGCAGAGGAGAAAAATTTCACTATAATTAATAACAATTGTGCTTACAACAATATCACAATACTCACACTTACGATCTAAAGCTCTTAAAAATGTTGTATGAATTATTCTCCAAATGATATAAGCTCAAGAAAACCAAGTTTTAGATGAATAGTAGTTCAGAAAACGCGTCAAAATTTGAAACAAACCTGGGCTAGATAACCATATCGCTCGAGTGACAAGCTAGCAATAGGCGAGCAAAAGCTCCGCTGCTCGAGCGCTAGGCGAGCAACCATTCTTGAGAGAAAATATGCAAGCACCGCTCGGCTAACGAAAATGTAGTGACTTTTCTTTCTGATTCATAATTTGGATCTCTTCAATATCACTTCAATCAAAACTACAATACCCACTAGAATTTATATCAAATTGCAACAAATCTCCACCCTAAACCAAATTCTAATATAAGGAATTCCAAAACACATTTTCAAAGTAAACACCACTCCTCATCTTCCAGACAAACCACAATAGGCTAAATCAATGACAAATACCAACTAGTCCAAATAATGCTCAAACTAAGCAATAGAAAGTGGTTTGGCCAACGTATCAGTAGGATAATCTTTGGTATCAATCTTGTTAACTACAATTTCACCACGAGCAATCATTTCAAGCACAAAATGGTACATCTCGTAAATATCTAATCGTTAGTAAAAAAAGATGGAACCCTGACTATCACAATACACTGTAAAAATTTGTAAGTCTTCACTGATTTTACCAATTAATCCCCTCAATCACTTAGCCTTCTTACATATCCCCTGCAATGATCATGTCCTCTACCTCTATTTTAGATAGTGCTACTGTATTTTGCAAATTAGCTTTCCATTTGATAGCATAACCTCCAAGGGTAAACATGCACCCTGTAAATGATCTCCTCTTATCAAGATCTTTTGCGTAATTTGAATCTACATACCCAATGACTCCATTTGCATTTCTACCAGAAAGCAAGCAAGCATTAATAAAGCCCCTCAAGTATCTAAATATCCACTGCACTGCTTTTCAATGTTCATTTCCAGAATTTGTCATCTACATACTAATTGCACCGATTGCATGTATCAAATATGGTTTTATAAAAACCATAGCATACATAAGCAAACTAACTGCACTAAAATAAGGAACCCCAAACATATAATAAATATCTTCATCTGACTGATGACATAAGCAAGATGATAATTTAAAGTGGACAACCAGTGGAGTACTTACAGCTTTTGCATTCAACATATTGAATATATGAAGCACATTCTCAATGTACCCTTTTGACTCAAATACATTAAGTCAATTTTCCTATCCCTCAAAATCTCCATACCAAGAATCTTCCTTGCTGCACCTAAGTCTTTCATCTCAAATTCCTTACAAAACTAAGCTTTTACTTTTTTTTATCCCTATTTTATCATTAGCCATTTTTACAGCTATCATAACAGCTTTTAATGAAATTCATGAATGAATCAAACTTTTTATACCACTGTCTCGATGACTGATCCAATCCATACAAAGACTTATTCAAGAAGCACACATAGTCTTTTTAGATATTATGAAACCCTCTGGTTGTTGCATTAAATGCTCTCTTCAATTCTCCATGTAAGAATGATGTCTTGACATCCATCTGCACAATAAGCACACATAGTATTCCTTTCAAAAGCTATGAAATCCTCTGGTTGTTTCATATATATGCTCTTCTCAAGTTCTCCATGCAAGAACATTGTCTTGACATCTATCTCATCAATCTCCAAATCATTCTTATTCACAATCCCAAGTAAAGTCCAAATTGAATTATGTTTTACAACTGGTAAGAACATATTGTGGAGTCAACACTTGAAATCTAACTATAGCCCTTTACTACCAAACTGGCCTTATACCTTCCATCTCCAGTCACTAATGTCCCTTTCTTCCTTTTGAACATTTACTTGTAGTGAACAACCTTTTTGTCTTTAGGTAATTTCATCGAGTCCCAAGTACTGTTTTTATTCAATGGCTTCCTTTCTTTCTGCATAGCAACCAACCATCTACTAAAATCACTGCAACTAACTACCTCTAAATATGTAGGTGGTTACTCAGCGGAATCAATACTGTTAGCTATACTTAATGCATAATCTACCAAGTCTGCTTCTCCATACTTCCATGGAGGTTTAATCTGTCTGTGAGGTATATCATTTGCTATCAAATACTATGGTAATGGTGCTACTGCTGTTGGTGGCGGTGTAGGCAAAGTGTTACTGTATGTTAGCTCTAAACTAAACTGGTCTGAAGTAAACTGTTTTGAAGCCTTTGATTATTCTTCTGAACCAACTTTCTACTCCACCTAAGTTGAATAATTCCGTTCTTCAGTTTTACCAGAATCCCCATGAGTTGAACCCTTAACCATAGCAAATTCATCAAACATTACATAATTTACATATCTACTGACCACTACATTTTCTATTTCAGGACACCACAACTTATACTCCTTCATGCCTGATTTATGCCCAAGAAAAATGGACTTTCTAAACCTATGCTCCAACTTTTCATTATCCACATGAGCATAAGGAAAACACCCATAAATTTAAAATCAGAATAACAAGAAGGTTTTCCAGACCATACCTCTTCTGATGTCTTTTTTCAATGGCAACTAAGGGTGATCGAATAATCAGATAACAAGTGTAGTAGTAATTTCAGCCCAAAAAGTCTTTGGTGATCCAGAATTTGAAAGTATATACAAAAAATATTTTCCATCAAAGTTTTATTCATTCGTTCTACCACACCATTTTGTTGCGGAGTCCCAAACATTGTCTTGTATCTCATGATGTTTTCAACCATTCAAAAGCTATTGAATTCATCTGAACGAAACTCCAACCCATTATCTGTGCATAGACATTTCACCTACTTTTTAGTTTACCTTTTATCATTGTTTTTCACTCTTTAAAGGTTCCAAACACATCACTCTTTTGTTTCAAGAAGAATACTTAAACTTTCTTGGAGAAATCATCAATTACTATCAACAAGTAATGATAAGAGTGTAAAATATAATATTTTTCCATTTTAATTATTGCATTCATGTGATTATTTGATACCAAAATACACTCATTATACTTATGCTTTGATTCATGTTGCATTTTGGTAAAAAATGTGAAATTTAGAAGAAAAGAGCAAGAAAGGACAAAAATGAAAGAAAGTGAAAGTTCAACGACCAAGTTACAAACAATCTAAAAATGAGACGGACGATGAAATGATGATTCGAGAAAGCTATGAGTCCAATGGATGCAATTAGAAGTCAAAATAAGTTAAATATGACCATAATATTTTCACAAATCAAATTACAACTGCATAAGGATTTTCCAGATTTTCAGCCAGAGATTGAAATCAACTTTTGACTCAGTAAATGTCCGAATTTGGAAAGAGCTTCTTAACGAAATTGTATCCTTTTGTGTTAGCTTTCCAACACACTTTGAATTTTCTTAATCGGACATAGGAAGAGAAAATTATAATCAAAATATTGAAAGTAGTCGCACAAAATATTCTAGTTAAAAATTTAGTTTCCTTATTCGGTTCAACTTCTTTTGGAAACAACTTGGTAGACGGTTTTAAGCCCTAGACTGGATAGAACACGCCTTTTCTTCACTTCCGTAATAATTTTCTCTCATTTTGGGCTAAAGAATTCGATGGAGAGCTAAAAACCTAGGTGAAGTTACGAAGGAATTCATTGGATTTGATGACTTCACATCATTTATTCATGCAAATTGATATTTTTATTGTCAAACACTTCTAGATCTAGACTTTATTTTATGAATTTACTTTGGAATTGATTTAACTTTTACTAGATTATTCATAGATTCTATCATGTTTTTTCTATTGTGGAATTGAACTAATTGTTGAATTTCAATTTCAATCAACTTTATTGGTAGATTATTTACTGCCTTATACGTTGTGTATATGATTGATTCTTAATCTTAGTCTAATAAACATGTGTGTGAATAGTTTGCAAAAGTCTAGATCCTGGGATTGTAATTGAAATTTGATTGATCTTCATTGTTAATCTTCTGATTAGAGAGTTGAGATAAAAACCTCTAATTGAGAAAAAAATTCATGAATTATTGATGTTGATGATCCAATCCAACTGAAGGAATTC